CATGTTTATTAGCTACACGTGATTTTTGATAAGCTACCGTAGTTTTATAACTATACGTATTTTATAAGCTAGCGCTATTTTATAAGCTATACGTACTTTATAAGCTATACGTATTTTATATAGCGTATTACGTATGTTTATAACCTGACTACGTATTTATCATAAGCTATATGCGTATTGTTTAGTGAAGGCTCTTTATAAAAGCTACGTATTTCTATAAGCTACGTATTTTAATAGGCTATCCGTATTTTTATACACTAGTATGCGCATTTATAGGAGCTTCGATATTATAGTCTATCTTGTTATATATATTATCTACGATAATATCATTTTTTTTTTTCTTTTGTTTTTGTTTTTTTTTTTTTATTATACTATTTCGTATTATTATATTCTTATTGGTTATATAAACTTCTTGAAGCACGAATAATGGTCTATCGTATTTATAAACTACGTATTTTATATAGCTTATGCGTTATTTTATTAAACTCTACTTGTATTTTATATAGGAGGTCTATCGTTATCTTGATAAGCTTACCGTATTTCTATTATAACTACCCTTTTATATTTTATATATATATATTCTTATTTTTACTAAGGCTACGTATTTTATAACACTACGTATTTTATAAGCTACGTATTTTAATAAGCCATATACGTATTTTATAAACTACCGTATTTTATAAGGCTACGTATATTATACAACTACGTATTTTATAAGGCTACGTATCTTTATAAGCAACGCGTAATTTTATAAACTACGTATTGTTATAAGCTAGACGTATTTATAATGCTACGTATTTTGATAAGCTGGTATTTTAAATAAGGCTATGTATTTTATAAGCTATTGATGGCGTATTTTATGAAGCGAATACGTATTTTATAAGCGCTATATGCCGTATTGTATGAGCTCACTACCGCTATTTTTATAAGCTGATACGCTATTTTATAAGCCTACTTATTTTATAAGTTACGGTATTTTATAAGGATACGTTTTTTATAAAGCTACACGTACTTGCTTGTAAGCGCTACAGCGTATTTTATTAGCCTACCACGTACTTTTTATAAGGCTACGTATTTTTATAAGGCGCATATGCCGTATTCTTATAAGCTATATGCGTATTTTATAAGCTCACGTAGTTGAGTTTGATAAGCCTAATAGCGTCTTTTAATTAAGCTATCGTATTTATTTATAAGCTCGCTAATTTTATAAGCGCGTATATAGGGTCGGTATTTTGTAAGCTACAGCGGTATTTTAGTTAGCTTCAGCAGTATTTTATGAGCTACGTATTTTACGATAGCCCTAATACCGTATTTTATACAGCTACGTATTTTATAACTATACGTATTTTATAAGCTATGTATTTTATAAGCTACGGTATTTTATAAGGCTATATGCCGTATTTTGTAAGCTACAACGTATTTCTATTAGCTACGACGTATTTTATAGCCTCGCCGTATTTTATTAAGGCTAATTAGCGTCCTTTTATAAGCACCGTAATCTTTAATAAAGCTATACGTATTTTATAAGCTATACGTATTTTAAAGCCTATACTATTTTCACTAAGCTATACGTATTTTATTAAGGCTTATATGCGGTATTTTATACAGCTTTTATCAAGCTAGACGTATTTTTATAAGCTACGTATTTTATAAGCTATCCGTATTTTTATAAGCTATATGCCGCATTTTATCAAGCTATCGTAATTTTGTATAACGCTACGTATTTATATAAGCGTACGTATTTTATAAAGCTACGTATTTTATCAATGCTACGTATTTGATGAAGCCTTACGTATTTTATAAAGCTATCGTATTTTATAAGGCTACGCTATTTTATAAGCTAAGCCGTATTTTATAAACTACGTATTTTATAAGCTACGTATTTTATAAACTACGTATTTTATAAGGCTACGGTATCTTGATAACTACGTATTTTATAAACTACGTAACTTTGTAATAAGCTACACCGTATTTTAGTACGGCTACGTATGTTTATAAACTACGTATTTTATACAGCTACGTATTTTATAAGCTACGTATGTTTATAAACTAACGTATTTTATCAAGCCTACGTATAGGTGTAAAGCTACGTGATTTGTCTAAGCTAGCGTATTGTTATAAGCATCGTATTTTATAAACTACGTATTTTATAAGCTACGTATTCTTTATAAGGCTGACGTATTTGTATAGAGCTGGCGTATTTTATAAGCTACGTATTTTATAAGCCTACGTATTTTATAGGCTACGTATTTTATAAGCTACGTAATTTTATATAACTAACGTATTTTATAAGCCTCACGTCTTTTTATAAGCTAAGCGTATTCTATAAACTACGTATTTTAATAAGCGGTACGATTTTATAAGGCCTAGCGTAATTCTTATAAGGCTTGACGTATTTTTCATAAGCTACGTATTTATATAAACGTACGGTCTATTGTTCATAAAGGCTACGTATTTAGCCAAATGGATTGAGAAATTCTCGGCACGCCGGTTACAAACTCGCAGGCGATGGCTTTTTGGCCTATACAGAAGATGGAAACTCAGCACAACGCTTCCGCTCGGCTCTGCTAGCTCTCCCTCGTCTCGCTGACTCGCTCTTTCTCTCTCCTCGTGCTTCATGCTATCTATTTAAATCCTATCTAGTCTAATAGTATCCTCATCTATCTATCTATTCTATCTATCTAATCTATCTATCCTACTATCTATTCTATCTATCTTACTTATCTATCCTATCTATTGCTATCTATCTAATCATCTATCTATCTATTATCCTCTTTATTTCTCTATCTATGCTATGCTATCGTATCTTATCGTCATCTCTCCATACCATATTGCTATCTATATCTACTCCTTAATGCGCTGTGTGTATTTTGCTTTCCTCGTTTCGCGTTTCTCTCTCTCTCGCCTCTCTCTCTCTCCTCTCCTCCGATCTCACTTCTTTCATCTCTCTTCTCTCTCGGTCTCTCGTCTCTCACTTTCTTTCTCTCGTTTCTCTCTCGAAAATCTACTTTCCATAGCTTCCCTCTTTCCCCCTCTCTCTCTCTCCACTCACTCTCCGTGTGCTCCCGCTCAACCTCAAAGAACGAACAAGCAGCCGACCCATGTAAAGCACAATTACAACAACGTATATACCGTACAACACGAGAACGCGAAAATTGGCGAGCGCGTTGTTGTTCGCTGTCGACAACTTTTCAAAAAAAAAAAAAAAGCTGATGAAAAAAAAATGTTTCCGCGCGATATTCGAAATAGTTTTTGTGTGTGTTAACCATTATTCATCCCGCCACACGTCGGCCTCCATTAATAGTCCTGCTTTGAAATGTCAGCGCGTGATGAAATGCGTGATTGCGATATGCTAATGCAGTAGACGTAGTATAACGCGACGCGAAAATATGTTCATGAGATAATGTAGTGAGTGTATGGCGCGCGAGCCATGATACGAGCGTCGTTCTCACATACGCGGTGTTGCGGTGACAAAATGAGAAATGAGTAAAAATCTCGTATAAAAGCCCATAATATATATATATATATATGTATATATGTATGTATGTAT